TCTCTCTATCTGCAATTCTCTATGCTGTCACTTCTCTTCTCTGCGTTATTTGCCGGGTTTATATATAAAAAAATAGAGGTCGTCTGGCAAACATGATCCTTCTAGAAACTCATCACGTGTTACCAGGGTCACGTGACTTCTGCTGTCGTAACAATATGAATTCTCAAATCCTCATTCATCACGATTTTTTAAATGCAAGCCTTTTAGTCTCAAAACTACGTGTTGTGGTTTTTCTTTCATGTATTGAGTTATGAAGTTTTGTGAAAAATCTGTACGTGATGGATAAAAATGGATTTTTTTGGATTCAGCGTACAGAAATTACTGTAGAACATGTAAAAATTTCAAGACAATAAAACCATCGCAGGCCTGTGTTATTAAATAGTATGTTCTTCAGGTACATGTTCTCACTCCTTGTGACTTAGTCTAGCATATAAAACTCTTCCCAAGTTAATGCACCACAATAGAGTTAATTTGCACTTTAGCCTTACTAAAGAACAATAACAATGTGTACTTCAAATAAGAACCTACGTTTCATTATTCTTCAGATCAAATTATACATAATTTTCTCACTGGCAAACTCAAACAATTAAATTAGATGTGTTAGCCGAACGACACCAACACAAATGAAAGTTAACCCTAAAGTTACAAAAGAACGCGAAAATTTCTCAGAAAGTTAAAAACTACATAAAAACACCCAAACTTGATACCAGCTGACGAAAGTGAGAGACTTAAGAATTCTTGTGTAGAACTTAAAGTTACAGAAACACTGTTTAAATCCAAAATGAAACTAAGTCAATTAAATATTTTTTTGTTGTTGGAAGAGCCTTCTGAAAAATCAAGAGACTTGTGTAGTGTTGCAACCATTTATAAAATTTTGTATAGGCTTGTGGAAATTATTACTGTTGTAGCTTTCTGAAATTCATTACCAAAGTGACGGTGTTTGATGATTACATAAGTTATGCTAAACTGTTTATTAAATGGATTTCAACATTATACTATCTGAATATTAGTTTGGCATGTTCACTACCAAGTTTATTTTTTACGTACACAGAAACACACATATTATTATAATTCCTTATATCTTGCTCATTAAATCAGCATTTTTTAAAGAGATAACTTTATGAAATATTACACTGATGATTATGTGCATTTAGTTCCAAGATTTGAAAATTAATACGATTTTTTAATTATGAAATTATTGTATACATATTTCTAAGAACATTTATTTAATATCACACTTTAAAGTCAAAAAAGAAAGAATATGTAGTGTTACACGTGTGTGCACATGGCATTAAAAGAGTTAACACATACAATTTCAAATTTATATCTAAATGAAAATCAACTGATTTCTAGTTTTGTGCATGATGGTTAAGAAGTGAAGTCCAACTAGATTCTACATAGATCATTAGTGATTTCTAGTTTTGTGCATGATGGATAAGAAGTGAAGTCCAACTAGATTCTAATAGATCATTAGTGATTTCTAGTTTTGTACAAGATGGATAAGAAGTGAAGTCCAACTAGATTCTAGATAGATCATTAGTGATTTCTAGTTTTGTACAAGATGGATAAGAAGTGAAGTCCAACTAGATTCTACATAGATCATTAGTGTTTTCTAGTTCTGTACAAGATGGATAAGAAGTCCAACTAGATTCTAGATAGATCATTAGTGTTTTCTAGTTCTGTACAAGATGGATAAGAAGTCCAACTAGATTCTAGATAGATCATTAGTGTTTTCTAGTTTTGGACAAGATGGATAAGAAGTCCAAACAGATTTTAGATAGTTCCTCAGTGGTTTAATCTAGTTAATGAGTACAGAATTTGTTCTAAAATGTTGTTAAATCCAAAGCTTTTATCTGATAATAACAAACACAAAAACAAAGCCATTAAGTTATTCATTTGTACCAGAAATCTATACAAGACCAAGTTACTCATGGTGTAATCTATTTGGAATATATGTAAATCTCACACACACACACAAGACATCCTGGATGAGGAATCCTACCTAATAACTTAATAGAAATGTTGCCACTCTGATGTACTTTACTTTCATTGTAATTTTTTTTGTAATAAAGAACAAATCTGAAATATAAACAATGATGTGTAATCATATTCGTTGAACAAATCTGAAACATAGACAATGATGTGTAATCATATTCATTGAACAAATCTGAAACAAACAATGATGTGTAATCATATTCATTGAACAAATCTGAAACAAACAATGATGTGTAATCATATTCATTGAACAAATCTGAAACAAACAATGATGTGTAATAATTTTCTTTGAACAAATCTGAAACAATGATGTGTAATCATATTTATTGCAACGAAGAAAATTCTTGCTGAAAATAAACGTTTGATGTCAGGTAAGTTTTATTAAAGAGAATATTTTAACAGCACATTGCTCATTAGATTCTACAAACAGTACAACAACAATGTGGGGTTGTTTGTGTCATGTACACAAAAAGAAAACCAATACAAGAAAAAATAAAATAAATAAATTCACAACCTATGGATATCATTCACATACTTCTGAGACATCAACTTAATGAAAATATAGTTATATATAAAAATAATGCAGTGATTTTTGACAAACTTTTACAGTTTTTCAACACGAATCAGTACACCAAAAAAAACAATAATTCTTTAATATTATAAGCATCGAGACCATACTGTACTTTAGTTTTTGGTAGTTTGGAAGCTTGATTACTCCAAGGAATTCAATAAGTTTTAAAGATTTGTTACCAAATTAAATTCCCTATTCACATATTTACTATTTAATTCAAAATCATCAACAAAGTGCAGGTTAATCTATTTAGCAACAGCTGATTAGAACACCAAGCTTGTATATTATAATTTAAAATATAAATTTACTATCACAAGAGGTATTTTACCTAGAAATCAAACTTCTATCTATTTTGAATATTTCTTTGTACTTCATTTTTTATAGAACCATATACAATTAAGTTTTTCTTTCTTTGACTGTCATCTTAATAACCAGTATAACAATAATACAAATAATGGACAAATAGCTTACACAATTAAAGGCACCAAAGCAAGTTTAACGAGTGAGTCCAAAATTTGATTAAATTACTAGAGTTCCCTATCTTCTGTGTGTACAGCCCACTCAGTGATTTCATTAAATTGATTTAAAATAACAAGGAATTATATTCAAAGACACATTGTAATGAATCATATAAAAAAAAATATTTCCAAAACTTGTGTCAGTGCCTTTATAGGAAATATGCTATCACAAATCATACTAAAATATAATTACAGAGCTTTAAATTTATACATAATCAGTCCTTTTCTAAACATGAAACTTTTCTTTGATCTCACAATTTGGAAACAAATAAATAACATAAAAAAATCATTCTCTAAATTTGTTGAACTTACTTTTGCAACTCAGTTAGTAAACAGAATTTTTGGAAATATATATGACTTGAAAATCATTACACTTTCTACACAAATATGAACTGGTTATTTAAAGTATGTGGAAAGTTTTATAACAACTTGAACTCTTATCTCCTCAGATAACAGCTTCCTTTAAAACTTTAAACTGGAACAATAATGTACATTTTGTGAAGCTAAGATTTTCAACAGTTGTAATTGTTTATAAAATTTTAAAGGCCTATTTCGTAAACCACAAATTTTTGAAATATATACAGTGTCTATATATGTACACAAGTAAATAATCCCTTGAAATAATTATATAAATAACAACACTTTATAACTAGGATTGTTTTTTTATTTTTACAACACATACTTCTGAAACAGACTTTGTAAAACTAGTTTATTAAATATTTTCATTCCCCAATGTAATTCTACAGACAAGTACACTGTAATGGAGATAGGCTATTTTACGTGATGGGCTTTTTTCTTTGGTAACACAAGTCTTATCTTGATTTCTCATTAATCTTTAAAGCAAACTAATTTTACAAAATAATGATTATTTTGTGCCCCAAAATAGTCATTTATCTATGCAGCAACTATAGTATATATTAATAAAATATATACATTTCTTTTATGCACATGAACAGCAGTAACTGTATATACACCATGTAATAATATCATAATGAAACGTGCCTTATGTCAGTCTCTAAGTGAGGTACACCGACTCCTCCAGTTTGATAGTGACAAACTCAATGTTCATCTCTCAAACAATCGATTGTATCAGTTATTATAATAGTAAGTTACTGCTGAATAAAATCAGAACAAACAGATTTATAAACATGCCTCTTATCATAACTTATGTCAGTCTCCAAGTGAGGTACACCGACTCCTCCAGTTTGATAGTGACAAACTCAATGTTCATCTCTCAAACATTCGATTGTATCAGTTATTATAACAGTAAGTTACTGCTGAATAAAATCAGAACAAACAGATTTATAAACATGCGTCTTATCATAACTACCACAGTGTATACTATTATAATCAACTACATACTCTAGCTACGGATGTTTTCAAATCTGTTTATTTCTTCGATAAATCACCCGCTTCTGTATCTTGTTATAAAGTCTTTAATAAGTGTGCATGGAAAATCATTAAACAAATTTATACACAAAAGTTTTTGTTCCTTTTATGGAATTATATTCGAAAATGTGTTGCAAGAAATCATATTAACAAAACATTTGTGTTAACACACGTGTTAATTACTGTTGGTATTGTTGTAGAATCAACAGTCCAATTTAACATTTGTTTAATCAAATAATTTCATGACATACAATCATGGAAAACTTCTCCATAACAAATTTATTATTAATAATTCTACAATAATATCAACAGGAATTACTGTTCATAAAATGGTTATACACACAAACAATATTATGCATGTTTCAACATTCAATAGTACATACAGCAATATAAATAATGAGAAAAAGAAAAACACATTTAAACAAAATTCCTAATAATTACACCCAAATCTACTTTTTTTTTCTTCAGTACCTATATGTTAAAAGTGCCCACTTTTCACCACACTTTGTGTTCAAACAGGCAACTAACATAAAGTACTGTTTGACTAGAAAAATCTAAACCTACTGGTTTTTTTTTGTCAGAAAACACTGTCATAGAAGTTACATCATTTGTCTACAAAATGTTGAGAATGTCACAGATAACTACAAGCTATACACCTCTTATTACATCATCATAACTTAAACTCAAAGGGAAAATTTTTGAGAAACTGAGATGGGATCAAATGTTACAAAGAAAAGATCCCAGTTTGAGATTAGCATTATAATTTATAAATTATTGTTAAAAATGTTTACATATGACTAATATTTGTAAAAATATATAAAGGAACAATAATCCAAAGATTATGCCTTTGGCTAGAATGCATCCATATAAACCTTAACTCAAGATGAATACCACTATTAAACTCCATTATTCATTCTTAGGATAGCCGTTCATATCAAACTTGAATAATGGAAAACTAACATACCAGTTAAAACAGAAAAACACTTTTCCAAGCTGTATTCCGGGATAATAAATAGCCATTACTTGTATCACATTTCTTTTATAAAACTTTTTGATTCAGTTTCAACTAAAAACATTAGATGACATTGAGTTTGGACAGTTTTGGCAACTTGTTTGATAAACTAAACCAAACACTAAGTGGAAGCTTTTCCCAACCCTGACTTACAATAATAAGAGTGTTTAAATGTTCACACGAGGTGCGAGATATCTTGAACATCACAGGCAAAAACTGTCTAAAACAAAGACAAGACATATAGGAAAATATACTAGTTTTGTCTCATGTGGATTTTTTATAATTCATTTGTAGGCTCAGAACATATGCTTTGTATAGACTGTTGACAAAATCTTGATCATGCTGTAAAACAAATTATTGAAATATATATAAATACATAGTAATAACTTCCTATCAAAGTAAGCTATGTGCTTAGAGCAAAACGCAAAATCAGCCTGACCAACTAGTATGAACAATATGACTGATAATGAAATATTTAATATTGCAATGTAAAGAATGACATATTCTTAATATAATGTTTAGCTGTCTTCATTAAAAAGAAAACTAATACTTACGAGTCTTAATTATGATTCTTAACCAAGCTGTGATAAAACAAATCAAAATACAACAAGTAAATAAAAAGTTGTATTACCTTTAACAGATACATCAATGCCCCCTTTAGCTGGCTTCTAGTCAGGGGAATGATATCTTGGGGAAAGTCAGTAAGATAATCTTCTTCCTTTGTTACTGATGTATTTATTAGGCATGTAAAAGGTAAAATATTGATCAAACATACAAATCATTATACTGTCATTCATATCAAATACAGCAGTATTCGATACGAGGACCGTCCTGGAGTAGTCATCCATATCAACTATCATTCAGGCAACATATCAGTGTAAGAATAATGATAACAATGGCCGAACTTCAGTTTTGAACAGACATGCAAGATCACGATGTGTGACAACTGTTGTCTAGGAAATAAAACCTTTTACTGGTGTTTTTAGTAAATCTATGTCTTGATGTAGGTTTGTCAAGACATTCCAGATATGAAACTAAGAAAGAAGTGCTTGCCTGTACACTGTCTTCATATAAATATAGTATAGAGAAACAAAATACTGCTGTATTTGATATGGATGACTACGCCAAGACGGTCTTCGTATCGAATACTGCTTGCCTGTACACTGTCTTCATATAAATATAGTATAGAGAAACAAAATATAAAATATTGATCTAGTTATATTCAAACTTTCTGAGTACTGCTGTATTTGATATGAATGACTACTCCAAGACAGACTGCTGTACAAATTATCACAATATTACAGCACAGTGCAAATAAAAAGAATACTTCAAAATGGCTTTCCTTTCTTTCTTTCTATCAAAATATGACAATAAAGATGATACTTTAAACAATGGCACTTATATGTAAACTAAACTTATCGTTACCTATTTATAAGAATAATGCTAGAAAGTTGTGAACAATTCATAGTTGATATATTTTGGACAACACGCTAGTTTTATAAATTCTAATATTTGAGTATATACTTTACCCGAGTCACAGCTGGCTGTATATGATGGTTTTATGAAAGCTTCAGGTGGAAGTAATGGAAGACTCGCTGGACAGGATGTCATCAAGACAAATGTCTGTAAAGAAGACAAAATATTTCTGTATATTTTTTCAAAATATAAAATTATCATTATAAGCATCGAAAAAACAATTTTGCTTTATGAAGGTACAAAACTGCCTCTCTTACAATTTTTTCCTATTTTAACAAACCAAACTGCCAGTCAATTCTTTATAAAATAATAGTACAATAAACTATCTGAAACTGTGGTTGAAAGCTATTGAATCAACTGTCTGATGAAAACAACTCGTGTTAATTCTAGGGGGGGGGGCAAAAAAAGTACCATAAAACAATAATTATCCTAAGTCTGTTGTTAGCAATCTCTAGATATTCTAAGACCAAAATACGAAACTTGGTAACCTGAGAACTCTCAAGAGTAGACCTTTCTTCATCAGGAACAAACTGGGATATCACGAGTTAAACTGCAGCATCCTTCATAAATTGATAATTATTCTAAATTTGGGGTTAGTAAATTCTCTAGATATTATGTAACTACTGTGGGATAGTAACTGTGGCTTTAAATAGTAGCCTGGTTTATATCAAGCAAATATTATTAATGTTATTTAATGAAAGGTTTCCTATTAAATGTTTATATCAGAACTAAATACCCAAATGAATTAAATCTCTTCAATTCAAGTTAAGTCAGACAAGTACTCAAAAACCATAATTCAAATTAGTAACAAGAAAACCATTAATTTTTAAGAGAACTAACAGAATGTACATATAACATTTAGAAATGTAATCCTTTCCAAGGCAATAAAGAACACCTGTGCAAAATTTACTACTTGGATATGAAAAAAAAAAATTTTGATGAAGCAGAAATTATCAACTAGATGACAAATCTTATATGTAAAATTCATAAAAAATTTAAAACATTAAAATCAATTGGAAGAATTAAGACCCAGACTGGGTGTGCAAGAATCTCGTAGTAATATTCTTTATATTTTTCTGAAACTTGAACAAAATAAGCATGGTGTTTGTTTGCATGGACTGTTATATTTACATATTCCATAAATGAAACATTTGAAAATAATTCTACCATTAGTTTAAAATTTTAAATGAAAATAATCATGTAGTATTAAAGAAAACTACAGTTCTTATATACAAAAGGTTATTTTATTATTCTAATTACACAACACCATTTAATTAAATGACGTTCTCGTCAGAAGTTACCTGACAAGGTAAAAGTTAACTGGCTGTTACTTGTACTACAAGTCCCCCTTTTTGTGTGTTAGTTAATATAACTACCTAAATACAGACAGTAAACTTTAAACAAATAAAGTACTGCAAACAATTATGTATACAAAAGCTTTTAAAATGAAAAATCTTTAACACACCTTGGAAAATTGCTTGTGTAAAGGATCACTGTTGCATGATAAGAAAGTACTAGGCTCTGCAGGAGCAAAAATTTTGTCTGGGGCTTGTTCAAACATAACTGGTGTCAGAAGTGAAACTGAAGGACTTTTTACTGATGACTTGGTTGAAAACTTTGACAAAATAGAATTTGAAAGTAAAGTTGGTTGAGAGGATAAAATAGGACTTTTGAAAGGCACAGGGGCAGGTGAAGGAGTCTTTTGGTTTGATTCTTTTGTATTTTCTGGTTTTGAGATTAGCTCTAGCTTTTTTTTAGTTCTTGTTCTTTAGTAAGAGTCTTGTGACTTGATTCTTCCATATTACCAGATTTTGAAATTAGCTTTAGCTTTTTTTTTAGTTCTTGTTCCAAGCTCTGAGTTGAAAGAGAGAAATGAAGAGAGCCATTAGCAATTGACATTTGTTCAGATCCAGACTTCTGCTGTTTTGAAGACAATTTTTTAGGGTCACACAAATTTGACAGCAGCTCATTAAGAACTCTTCCAGTACATCCAGCCGACTGTTCTGTGCTATAAATGAGAGTAGGATCACTCTCAGAATGCAAAGACTTCTTTAAGTCACTTTTACTCAAAGTGACTTTACTATTTTGTTTTTCTGAACTAAGATCTGAACAGATTTGTTGGCTTTGATATGCCTGAGCAAATAATGTTGCAACACTTAATGGTGTTGTGCTAGGAGAGTATACTTCTTTAGAATCAACATTTGTTTGCTTAGGATGTCTCACTTTTACTTTTCCAACAAAAACACAATTATTTGACTGACTAACTTTTGGATATTTGATTTCTTCTTTGGTCACTTTCTGTATGCCTTTGTTTTGAATCTTTCCTTTTTCCTGAAAAAGAAAACAAAGAAGAGATACATATTTTATGTTGTTGAAATAGTTACTAAAAATATGCTTTACTCTACCTCATGATGTAGATTACAAATAAGTTAAAAAAAAAGAGAGAGAGACTGACAGACTAAAATGATAAACAAAAACAATTTATTTCTGCCAAACTAGTTTTTATTTTCCTCTGATGATTAAAATATTTAAGAATTTGCAACATATTACGAACAGCTATTGGTGGTTTATAATGACACACCTCAAACTAAAGTTACATATATTTATAGTTTAGTCCAATGAGCAACAAAGTTCACCAATAATCATACTGAAGCCAAAACCTGATCGCCAACCAGATTCTAGGTAAAAAAAAACATAGGAAGATCTAGTGGAAAATATGGGGCAGTTGTACAAAAATTGGATAGATAGAATGCACATTATTTAAAAAACACAACAAAATGAGAAAAATAAACCTGTATACAGTTTTTATAATTAATAAAGCTTAGATATTTAAATCAGTTATGTTTTCATATGAAAATTCTTATTTCTATTCTCATTGGCAAAGTAGAAGAACATTGACAGAATGCTGATAGAGAGGCATAAATTTGTAAACTGTGTTCTTATTGTCCGACGAGCAATCTCTCAATATTCGATGACGAGGAACCCACTTTGAGACTAATAATGGTTGGAGACGGCTTGAATGGGTAATGAAGAAAAACGTTAATATAAGTTTAACATAACAGCAACATTTCAACAAGGTTTTGTCATCATCAGGTACCTGATGTGATAGTGTTGATGTGCTTTGATAGAGTTTTATACTTTGGCACAGAGTAGCATGGCGAGGCTGATTTTATTGCAATGATTCTCTTATTGATGTATAAAGACAAAGTTGAAAACATGAAAGGTAAAGTGAAGGTTTATAAGAACCTATACAAACTCTGGAGAAGTTCTGAATACCACTTGTCAGAACCAAAGCCTTTGATGATGCACAGGGTGAAACATCTGAAGAGTCCCAGGCAAAGTCATAGGCCAAAGATGCATTGACCAGCTTAGCCTTGTTTTAATGACCTTGGAACTGGTTGTGAAAGAGAATTGGATGGGAATTGAATCTAGGACTCCTTTTGGCTTTGATATTCAATTTGCTGGCCTTTTGGAATGCTATGGGGTTGGTAAGGTTGGATTATCTATGAAATATATACCAGTCTCATTTCTGAGCCTGTCATGTTCTTTGGTAGTCCAGTGTCCACCATGGATGATGATGATGATACAGTGTAAAAGAGTTAAGGCTTTAGGGATTATAAGTACAACAACCTGGTCAATATGATCAGTTTATGCCTCTATGCTGTCCTTAACAGTTGGCAGATTACCAAAAGCAGGATCAAGCATGCACAGGAATAGAGAGAAAAACCTGGTGGCTCCAGCTTCAACTCTGGCATACGAGTCAGGTGGTAGTGACTGCAGTCAATCTGTCTTGGAATAACAGACAAATGACAACTGCCTCACGGAATATTGTCCATTTACCACGAAAAAAAAAGGGAGAAAGTGAACAAATGGACAAATAAATGACAATAAAAGTCTGACTCAGGGTACGGAAACATGTATATTCTTCAGTACTGAACAAAGAAAGACTGAACTGAAAGCAAATACTGATACATCTTTTCAATACTGCCACCACCCCAGAAGGGGCTGTGCATAATTAAGTCTCCCAGGGTGATGAAGAAAGATGGCAACAGCTCAATAATATCATCAAAATCTGCTTAATAAATTAACACTCCTAGTGGCAGATAGAGAAACAAGTGTGTGCGTGTGTGTGAGTGAAGGTACTACCAATGGAGACACAGATGACAATGGACTTTAGAGGTGTAGAAAGTGGAACAGTCATTGAAGGAGTATGCTGGTCAACCAATAATACTACTACTCCTTGAATATGTCCATCACAACTGAATTTTATCGGCAGCTTTTAGATGTAAGGAGACAAAAACATTAAGAATCAATCACAGCCATGATATTATTTAAATTACTATAAAAACCTTGACAGATCCACTGTATCATCATATCAGCAAACTTTTTGTTTTTGCTTGCAAACACCTTTTTTTTCCTCCATGGACCCTGCCTGGGATCAAAGGAGGAGGTCCTTGATCAGATTGAAGGGATTACAATGAGCAATGTTGAGATGATATAATGATCTTATAGATCAGGTTTTGATTGATCACAAGTATTAGTGGTAGGAACAGAGATGGGAGCAGAAAACGACTTATCCACGTGCATGTCTACAGAGCCAATAGAACTTTCAGATGGTTTTAGAAAGACACTGAGGGTGGAGCAAAAGTATCTGATAACACCCCTACTGAAACAGTATGGTTTGGTATAACTGTTTACTCTATGCCTCAGAGTAAGATGCATTATTCAGTTTTATCATCTTTACCCCTTTATCTTCAACCCATTTCGAGCAAGACCAAGGATATGAGGGTTGGAACCAGTACAGTTGACACAGTGTGGATCAAACTGACACTCACCATTATCATGGTCTTTGTCATAACAACAAACAGGGTAAAGAATGATGACAATAATATGTTTTACTGTCCAAACCACTGATAGTTAAAACATCAGAGGATTTTGAGTATAAAGCCATATTTTACATTTCAAACAACCTGCCTTCATAGTAGCAGGGGGGGTATGGAGATGTAAACATCAAAATAAGTAACCTAGTCAGCTCAGATTTTCTTTTTTGGAGGAAATGTGTCTGACAGCTGATTCTTCTTGAATAGAAAGTGTGTGTGTTTTCTTGTAGCAAAGCCACAGTGGGTCCTCTGAGAGGAATCGAACCCCTGATTTTAGCATTGTAAGCCCATAGACTTACTGTTGTCCCAACAGGGGACTGAATATAATATAAAGACCAGCATGAATCTCCAGCTTGGTGATGTTGCAAAGACCCTTCTCTATTATAACTCCTATTGATGAATTCACAAGACTGAGAAAGTGACCTCAATGGGAATTTCCCCAATAACATTTGACATAAAGAAGAGTTCACTGTTTTGTGGTCATTAAATTTCAGCCAGCAGGTCCAAGATACTTATTTCTTTAGCAACTCTGAAGAGCTTGCAAGTTTCTCTAAGCCCCTTTTGGATTAAAGAAGTAGTTGATGGAAAGAGGTTTCTGATAATGAATATAATATGAGAAATCAAGTTACAAATATTGAAGATGGTGATTGTGTGTGACTGTGTATTCTGTGAATGATCATTTGAGTTTAATCTGTTCTTGCAAAATCTATAAGGGTAAATGGGGAATATTCATTGCTCGCTGACTAACTACTATAAAGTACAACATGGAGACATTGTACACTGTCAAATCTCAACATAATAAGGACTATGAGTAAGCAGGATTTTGTGAGCACTACCCAAACACCAGCACCAGACATTTTGTCCATAACACTCAGCTGACCATAGTCTAAACTGACTATCTGAATGACCTGGAGGGAGCCACACAGAGCATCCTAGCAACAAGATTTCAAGGCAGTGGATTGCAACTACCAGTCTTCTCTCCCTCTTTTCAAGCTGATTCATGTTGGTTTACATCCCACAAAAGATAACTTACACAGGTATAATTTTCTCACAAGTAGGAATCCAAGTCATGGGGTTTTAATTGTTAGTAATGTTTGTGGTACATAGGTAACAAAGTATATTGCAGAATGACATCTAAAATCACATACATGTCCTGAATTAATATTTCAAGATACTTACTAATGGCTTAGAATATCTGATTACTAATGGTTTTGAACATTCTCTTCAGTTTATATTTAATTAAAGTTTTTAAAAGTCCCTTGGCTTCTTGCTCACTATGCAAATGCAAACAAATTATAACTTAATGCATAAGACACAAGATTGGAAATGCCATTCTATTTAGCTCTTATTTTGTATAATAAACAACATGATATAATTGTTCAGAAACAACTGAAAAACAAACTAGACAACATGCATGTGTTTGTTTTAAAGCAAAGCTTCACAATAGGCTATGCGTTGTATCACATCTTGAAATACAGAATTATTAAGTCCTTAAGCTTACCACTAAGCTACTGGGGATTAATTAAACAATGAAAAAATAAAAAGGATTGAGACAAAAACATTTTATACACAAGTTAGGTATACCCATTTAAAACCATTAGCTAAATGATGAAGTTCTTGAAAATGAGTAAATAAACGAGAAAAGGACCATATCAGATTTGACCCGCACACCTAATATAGAAACTAAGTTAAGATTTTAGAAAGACACAATCCTAAACTCAAGCACAATCTTACTTTGTCATATTCATGTTGAGCTGCAGACAGCAAGCTTATAATATCCTGTGATTTCACACCACCTTTCTCTTGGACCCTGGACTGGCTAAAGCCACTCTGTTCGTACCAATTATAAGCAGCAGTGCATTTCTGTTGTTGAAGAACAGGCTTACCTTGCTTGGTAGCACAGGGTATTTGATAAGCAAGTCTAACACAAATGTAAATTTTGTTAATTACCAAAACTAAACAGAAAACTTCTCCCACAGAAGTATCTTATAATTATTAGCTTGTATATAAAATTTGACATAATGTTTGAAGTCATGTATGATTTTTTCAAAGTTAAAAACCAACAAATAAATAAGTTACACAAACAATTTAGCTACTGTATGAAAATTCAATGTGCTTCATTTTTATATTTTTTTTCATATGTATAAGGAAATAAAAACAGGTGCTTTAGGTGAATTAATGTAGAATAAACCACCAAATTATTAACACAAATTTCAAATCTTCACTGCTTACTTTGATTGGATTATGTTCCTAATTTCTCAAGTTTACTAATGATGTTAGATTTAATTAAGATATGCCAACGTTTAAAGCCAGATGTATTACAGTCAATAAATTTAGCAAACTTAAGTAAATTAAAATCAGACATTAGTTACTGCTTACTTAACTTGTTCTTACAATTAAATGATGACTGGTGATATAAGCACAATACGATATGACAGCAAAACGTTTTTGAAAACTGTACTTATCATTTTACATATATCATTATATTTGTATGGTCTTTTTCTAAGGAAAACATTACAAAGAATAATTTAGTTTACAATTAACCATTCTAGTTTACCAGCTTACTGAAAGAACCACATACATTACTGATTTGTAGAGCATGGCACTTTTGATAACCTATTTAATTGGTTACTTATGATAATTTGTTACATTGATTAGTGTTGCATAAAATAATTGCAATCAAATTGACTTATGTCACAAGATAAGTCAAATAACTGATATTATTACAATTTCATGATTATTCCAACTATCCAATTAATCAAAATATTGAAATTATTATTTCTCATTAGTATTATTTCTCTCACTAATTCACAGTTGTTCAGCTCAGTATGTTTGTCATGACACACACACACATATATATAATCAACAAATATAAATTAAGTTTTCCAATTATTTCAATTAACAAAGTCTCATGTGAGAATGACTGATTAGTTAAATGTAATAGATTAAAAAATTAATCAACTATCAAATTCCACTAATCTACCAGCTCAACTGATGTGCATGTCAAGTGGAAAGAATTGAGGTAAATATAATTAAATTGGTTTAAAACAGTTTCCAAAAATTAACCATCTGTATAAATAGAAAGTAATAAATAAATAAATAAATGTGTGTGTGTGTGTGTGTGTGTGTGTGTGTGCTTGAGTGCATATGGGGAAGTTTTTAAACTTCATTAAACTATACAAAAAATAAATTAGGAGTAGCGAAGTATGGATGATGTCACCATACGTGCATGGGAAGCTTTCTATACTTCTTGAACTTATGCAAATATGGAAAGTACAGATGACATCACCATACGAATAATGGAGGATGGGTGTAGATAGTACTATACACTGCAAAGGGAATGGTATTTAGATAACAGATCTCTCATCCCTCAATAGCTATATCTCAGAATGTGTGTGTGAATTTTATTTGTTTGTACACATTCATACTGTCATCCTGCTGAATTTTAATACTTGCCCTCAATACCCAGGTTTTCAAAGGATCACTAGATCTGGTGTCTCTTACTAGATAATCAATTAGTTTGTCATTTACAATCAAATCACTCAGCTTTAAAGTTGAATGTTTTCGTATAGGAAACATAATGTATAGTAAGTCAGTATATCAGTTTATTAGGCACTGGTTTAGTTTATAGTATCCTTTTTTTTTTCAGTGGCTTATAGAATATATTTTGTGTTTCATTTATTTTTTGGTTATGGTATTTTGTATTTGAATGTGCAAGTTTACAAAATGTAAAGTAATTAAAATGGTTAGATGGCCTGCCTAGACTACTTGCATATGAGGTTTAGTACGTAGAGTCATGCAGGGTGTCTGAATGACTGTAACGTTAAACCTATTTCAAACACATTATACCCACCAAACACCTCCACTACAAAAGACACTTTTCATAAAATGAAATGCCATAGATGAAATCTGAAAAATGGAAAGCATTATAATGAGTAGATTGTATAAATTAAATTTGACCAGAATGGAAGAAATATTTAGAGCATAGTACAATAATATAATTTTTCTGAGTCTGTACACGTGTAACAAAGCAAGCTATTGTCATATACATTATTTTTTCATGACAATTATTAAAAGTTAATGTTGTTTTGTCGTGTAGATCTTCTACTTATTATGTTATTTGTAGTTGATTTTGCATGTTTGATTGACAAGTATGGTCAAATGGTTTACAAATGACAGAATAAAAAGCCTCTAAACAAGTGAACATGAGAGAGTCTTTAAATTGAGAAAATTAACCAGGTTAGTAAGATAATGGGAAGGAAATAACAGTACGAAGATCAAAAATTGTCTTTTTGATTACTGTCACCAAGTTATAAGAGTAAGTGGATTAGCTTTGTACATCTGTGTTTATACAACCAGGCCTAGTTTAGAATTTTGTCACAGCTTTCAAATTTTATTCTTGGTTTGTTGCCAATTTGAGGTACCTACTAAAATAATAAGCATGGTGTTGACTTTATTTTCCCTTATGTACAAGAAGCTGTGTATGTTTATACATATAACATTAATGAAAAATACATCTTTAACTTTAAAACTTTTAATAAACAGAATATTCAAAAACTTTATAAAACACTGTAACTTGTAAGTGTACTACACTGGGATTATCAAATTTCATTTGACCTTGGAAGGCTAGATTCATAAATAAGTAATAGTTTCTGGGACAGAATATTTGCAGTCTATTTATAAGCAAATGTAAAATAAAATTGGCCAACACTAGTTGGAAATTTATTATTAATAAAAGCATACAAGGAACATTTCACTTATTAGAAGTTACCTATAAAAAGGATAACAACACAGACACATATGTGAATATGAAACAATACCTTTTTTTTCACAATAAAGAAGAAATGGGCTTTGTAGCTGAAACTCCAACTCGTAGGTTAATGGTTTAATTAAATTCGCTGTACTCAGCATATTGACTATTATAAACCAATAATATGGAAACTCAGACCTAAAAAAAAGAGACCAAATGCTAAGATTAGGAAATTCTTCTTACTTTTATGCAAAACTATAATTTCGACTGGTAGAAAAATACAAAGTAATGTTATCTTCCAGGCAAGTACATATGTATTTTATTTACTCTTCAGACTGACTTAACTATAATTTTTTAGCTGGAACATGTTACTTTGTCATTGCTTATCTGTGATGCAAAATTACTTCTTTTATAAAAACCCAGCCTGAAAAGCTCTGAAACTGGGCAAAATATCTCGCTATCAATAGGTGTGTAGCAAATATAGAGGAGTTTGGAATATTTCTTTATACAATCTTGTTCACTTTCACTTTGAAGTTCTTACTAATAATAATTTCTAATCTACAAGCAGGATCAACCAAGCTGAATGGAACCTCTCTTCCAGTACAATTAAAAGTGTACTGTCGATAAACAACAAGTCAATTGAGCTTAACAAGTGTCTGTAGTTAATGAGGCATAAAGAACTAGGACTACTACTGCAGAAAATAAAAAATACAACAGGTTTTCTTTAGGTTGTTACTTAGTTATTAATCTGAAGTTATTCCGTGTATTCATGTACAAGCAAGCACACCAGTTTACAAAATGCCTGTATTTTTGGAATTTGTATAAATTGTACTTGAGGAACAGTAGCATTGACATTTTTGGGTAAAAGCCTTGACCTTTCGTTTGTGATAATGTTGCCAACAGCGCTAAAAGCCCGCTCGCCATCTATACTGATTGGAGGTCCGGAGAGATAACGGCTTTCTATCCTGGCCATTGTGGGAAATCGAGCTTCATTTGACTTCCAAAAGTGAGGCCAGTGAAAGTAAATGCAGAAACAGTGATGTTGACATGTTTTAGAATCATTATTCTGATTAATGCCTCACTCCAACTTCTCAAACTGTAACCCCTATTGTTCTCAAAACCCCCACCTTCCCCCAGAAATCCACTTCTCAAGTCATGCCTGTTATTAACTTCTATTGTTCTCTGAATCCCCAACTTTCAATGGGCTGTCAATCTTTGTTGCTTGGAACATGTTTTTGAACTAAAGTAATTATTGACTGTAACTTTCAATACTGTGCAAGTTGCCACAAAGATTAGGGCTTAGATGCAATTTTCAATTACCCAGATTTGGCGGTTTTTAACTTCAACACTTGGTCGGAGTTGAGTATTACCAGGTAGTCCAATAACTGGCCGGGTGCCCATGCATCCTAGTATTTAAACAAAGTAAACCAGCTACTGTGTAGCAGGTCTCATCAATTTTACAGAAATAACTGAATGTTTTAAGTATGTGGTTGAAACTTAAAAATATGGATTTTAAAAATGGTAGCCTTTCTCTATTCAGACATCAAGCCTAAATTTCTAAATTGAGGAAGACTAAAGACAGAAACAAAAACAATTTAAATCTTTAAGAAATGGGCACCACTGCCTTAATTTATATAGATATAAAATTACCACCATACAAGAGCAAAATTTTTCTAAAAGCTTAAATAAATATATAATGTACAATATATATGGGCATAATTATAACATACAGCCTATACACATGTATATATTACATTTCTAATTTCTTACAGGTTATATACACTTATATTTCATTATGCAAAAGTAGTTTTATTTAATGACTATGGAACACAAATTTTAATGGAATATACACGGCAAAAACTAGTGCTCTTTGTTTCTTGGTTACCTAGATATGTATGTATGTATGTATGCATTTTATTTTACTTCAGAGTTTTCATATAACAATGTTTTGGGACAACAAAGAATCTATCGGTCCATCTTGGCTATCCAATCCTCTAAACTAAACTTATTAAATAGATAAATTAAAAAAAAAGAAAATCTTCAAGCCAGCCCTTATAATTCATATACTTATCAAGCTTTCTTTTAAACCAATTTAAATTTGGTGCCTCAACAACATCCAAAGGTCAACCACCCTGTTAGAAAAATAAAACTACCTTAACTGAAGATGACTCCTACACTTCCAAAGTTATTATTTTTCTATACTGAAAATATATTACCTCTTCTCACACTTATAGCTATTCTAGTTTAGTACTACCAAACTTTGCAAACTTTTTTTCTAATCCACAAGCCTTGTACTTCCACTTGCCTCACGATTAATGTGCTTCACTGTGTCTTTGCATGTAAATCATCATGTGACAACCCTCCACAAATAGGAGTGTGACACACCTTCCTGACCCATGTGACTCCCTCTATTCGATTCTATTGAACTATCACTTTGAAATTAGGCAGAAACGATGCACCAGTTTTAAGTAGGAAGGAAAGGTGGGAAGTGTGAAAGGAGGTAGGTACTTATCAGAATATATTTTCAGTGTAGGAAAATAACTTCTAGTATGGTATCTTACCTCATCTCACACACAGCTACAATCACACACTGAATAGGTGGAGGAACCGATGTGAGGGATATAGAGAAGTATCCTTTGAAAGTGTCTGAAGAACACCCTTGAAGTATGACCCCCATTAGGAAAGGAACACATGTGAAAGACCACAGCACTTCTGCATTAGGTATACTCTTTGCCCGGTGTGGAAAGTTATGTCGCATATACGAGCGGAAAGTAAGAGGAGCACATCCCCCCCCCCCAATAAAACTGCGTGGGTTTGAACCCAAATCCCACAAAGTACCAGAAGCACAGTCAAGGATAAGAATGAATGGAGGATCCCCACCCACAGAAGGGAATGTGGGTAAAACTAAAAAGGAAGTGCCCCACGGTGTAGAATGGCTAGGGTGCATTGGACTGTGTGTAGCCAGTCAACTCCAGTCCAAAACCAACCTCCATCTGGCATACATCTACTGACCCATGGTAGGAGGATGGTCCACACAATCTTCACCTCAAGTGGAGCAAACAGAAGGTTATACTAAGAAATCATTCTACAAAACAGGGCACATGAGCACAAATCCACAACCAGTCATCTAGGAATCTGACCTCTGAATGACAGTAGGAAGGGATGTGCCAATGTGGCAGTTAACATCAAATCCATACCCAATTGGACTGGTTCCACACTGTGCAAACATCAGCCTCAAGTAGTGAAACTCCTGAAGGTGAAGTGCCAGAGAAACAACCATTGCCCTGAGCAACATCATCCTCCAGATAGGACTGCACAGATGCTGGAGCACATGTGCGTACAACAATTTCCGGGACTCACTGAAGAAGATAGAGACAAAACTACTAGAATGAGGTAGGATAAGAAAGCACAACCTACACATGTGAGAATTTATGTTGATTGGTCCAGCTCCAATCCAAAAACAGTCACTGGGTACAGACAACCAAGTGATGGTAGGACAAGGGATCCCAATCAGAGGGATGAACTACAATATGACATATCTACTTGAAAGCAGTAGCATCTTCCAGATAGAACCACACACAAGCTGGAGTGCAACATCAATTTCCGGATCACACTGTATGGAAGTGGATCACCTCTGTAAAAGATACACAACCTTACCCTCCGGATAGAGCCACACAGAAGCTGGGCACAGCATCAACCTCTGGGACCCACTACATGGAGGTGGAGAGTATTTGTGAAATATGCACAATATTGCCCCCAGGGTAGGACTGCACAAAAGCTGGATGCAACATCAACATCCAAGACCCACCACATAGTGGTGGAGTGCATGATATTAGGAGTAAACACCATCTACAATGGCAAAATGCCACTGCCCTACTCTCTACTGAAGTGAAAAGATCCCATTCAGGAGGACTCCTCCATGGTCCAACATCCCAGCGGCTCATAACTGTAAAGTGGCAAGGACTCTCATACTCCACTTAAAGAACAAGGGGGGAGGCAAAATGTGGTAGAGAGTCCTGAGGAATGCAGACACTGGAGACAGTGCAACAATTCCTATTCTGAAAAGCAAACTGCCTGATTTATTTAATCCCTTCTGCTTTACCCATGCAAGTCTATGGGTTAGTGCATTAGTACAGTTCGAAACAGGCATATTAATTAAGCAAATATATTGCAAAGTAAATCTACTAGCAATCTTGTGGACACCCCATCTCAACAGTGTACGTTATTGGCCATGGGTATACATCAAGACTGTTGGGATCAGCCACTGCCAGAGGACAACTTGGGGGGGGGGGCATGACATACAATCCTTGCCAAGCTACCCCATGCAAAATAATTCTTCACTAGGGCCCAACCCCATAGAGATGGAGCAATAGAAGTAGTCTGGAGTAACATACACAACATCAATCCTGGATATGATTTAACAGAGGTAGAAGCACAGGCATCATGAACAGAATGACCCATGTAACCACAGTCTGCAGGATGATCTGATTTGTGATCTCACAAAATCAACCGCTGGGACCCATCACATGGAGGTGAAGCAACAGAGTCACTAGGCAGGAGATAATATACCCTGGTATGACTTATTGGTGGCTGTACAGTGATGAATTTGAGAGCGAGGTGGTATACCTTAACAGTCAATGCTTGCCACTGAGTGGGATTCTAGACCTAATAGGGACATGCCACTGTAAGCAAAATTAAGATACAGAAAAGATAACTTACCAAGTGACAGCTGCACTGATGTCTGGAGAATGGTGACAGGTGGAAGGCAATACCCAGATGAGGAAGAAACAGCTACCTGACTGAAAGATTTCCTCCAACAGATGATGGAGGAAAGATGCCATAGAAAAGGTAAGGTGCCTGATCTGATGTGATGATACCTGGAACAGATTGAGGAGACAGGGAGGAATACATTAGTCTAACAAATTGATGAACACAACCTGTAAGGATAGAAGGAGAAAGGTCACATACAGAGGAAAGTTGCCGGGGAATGAAAAAGTGGGAAAGTGAACCACAGAAGGTGGCTGTGCAAGCAATGTAACAAGGAAGAGCACGAATAGGACATAGAAGCCTATCTGGATCAGACAAGGAATATAGGTGGGAATAGAAGGAAGGAAAATTGGTTAGAAGGAAGAATGTCCCTCACAAGTTGCTGAAGTTTAAGGGAGAAACAATCAATCCAGATAAAGGAGAACATATGTGGAATGGAACAGTACATGAAATGTCAATGGAAAAGATATCAGACTGATGATGCCCACAGGCTAAAACGTGTATGAAAGAAGTCTTAAAAGTAGGGTGATACAGGGAATATAAGGACAAAGGTTCAAATGGAGGGAGTATAAGGCAGTGAAGATCAGAATTAACATTCCAATCGGAAAGAACGGAGGTTGATAAATACAGAAGGAACTAAATAAAAGGGAGACAGTAGGAGAGGAAAATACCATATGGTACCTGGAAAAATGGAAGCTGTTGGATAGGGCTGCTCTCTAACAAGCTATAGAAGAGGCAGAAGTTGCATGATCAAACAACCAGGTGAGAAAATCTGTAAGAAGAGGAACAGTAGGTAAAGAAGGAGAAAATCCCAGACTCAAAGGTCAACAGTGGAAGACGTTCCACTTATGCTGATAGACCACAAGGAAGGAAGGATGAATGGTCCATGCTAAAAAGGAAGTGGCATGCACTGACAATCCAAATCTGCTTGCAAGGGACCAGATAAAAGCCAGGTGTGAAGAGCGAGATAAAGATAGGTGAATGAAGTTGACTGAGGAGGAATGGATTGAGAAGAGGAGGTATTAGGGTGGGGGTAGTTTGGAGCCAAAAAAGTTGAGAAAACCAAGATTGTGCTGGCCAGTAATGAACAATCAGAAGGACCTGACATGGAGTGGAATAGATGACTGAAGTCACCCTGGGAAGGAGTCAAATAGGAAGGTAGATATAAATGCATCAAAAGCATCCACTGCCAAGGTCTGAGGATGAGGAACCAGGAGTCAAGAAAAGAGGTCATTTGGTGTTGAGGAAAGTGGTAAAAGCATCCAGAGGAGAAGTATCTCACCAATTGCAAATACACCAGAAAATGTGGGGGATGAGGGACCACCCCATGGGATAAACCTTATTGGGTTAGGAAAGACAATCAGCCATAAGGTTGAAAGCACCTGGAACACAACATGCAATGAGACATATGGGCCAAATAAAGCAGTTCTAATGTTCAACCACAAAGAGAAGGGGAATGGGTGGTACCTTGGCGATTGATACAGGCAACAACTATGAAATTGTCCAAGTGGTTCATGATAAGTTGGTTCTGTACAATAAGAAGAAAATGATTCAAAGCCTTTCATACTGCAAGAAGCTCCAAGATGTTATGATATTTCAATCTGAGACCACTGACCAGAAGCCACCTGCTGCTTGACTCATGACCCCTGGCTGAGGAGAAAAACATCTGCCAGACGAGACAGAGGAAGTGGTATCCCCATTATCATATTGTCCTTGTTCAACTACCATTGAAGATCATTTGTAAGGGAAGTAGAAAGGGTAATTGGGAAGACCAATGGGTCCAGAGCAAGATTCCATTGGTTGCACAACATCCACTGAAGAGAATGCATATGTGCTCAACCCAAGGGGATAAGGGCTTCCACTGAAGCCCATGTCCCCAAAAGCAATAGAATTCTGCATGCAGAAAGAGAGGGCACAGAGAACTGAAAGCTCCATTGAATGGAGAAGGTTGGGCTTGACTAAGATACATGTTGAAGTGGACAAGATATTGAGTAAGCATCAGGAAAGTCTTCAACCAACCAACCAACACAAGCTGTTTTTGTCAATAGAAAACAAGTGTGTTGAGAAGATTCCAGCTTGGAATGAGCTAACAGGAGCCAGTCATCCATGTAGTGGTAGAAGTGAAACCAGTGAGCATTCATAAGTCAGGCTTAAGCTTTGACCACCCAACAAAAGACATACAGGGCTGAAGCAAACCAAAAGGCAAGGTGCAGAACTGATACAAAACCCCATAGCAGAGAAATCAAAGGTTGCATTGGGACTGATAAGAAACAGAAATATGGAGATAAGCATTTGAGATGTCTACATTGGTCATCCATAGACCTGGAGAAAAAACCAACTGAAGTGTCAGAAAGGATTTCATGGTAAAGCGGGGAAGATCCAGAAACTAATTGAGGCAGGACAGATTAATCACAGGATGACAGTCTCTGGTTTTCTTACAGACGACAAAAAACCTGGGGAAGGCTGGCTGACAGACTAGATAGCTCGCTGTGGTAGCAGGATTCTGAAGTAAAGGGAAGGATAGAGGTAAAGGAGACAATGGAGGAGGGGAAAGGGAATGGATAAGAAGTCCACCTGACACAACCTGGGTCACCCATGAATCAGGAATGAACTCTTGCCACAGGTGAACAACTTTGGCCAAACACACCCCAACTGGACCAGAAACCACCTGATAGTCACAGAAACTGGAAACCCTAGAGGTAAGAACTGGCCAAGATAAGGAAGGTGCAAGATGGGAAACAGGCATGGGAGAGGGCACAGTAACAGGGCGAGACAAACAAGCAACCAAAGAAAAAAGGGTTGAGTGTTGTCTCACAGATTCCACACATGACTCCAAAGACTTGTGACATTAATTCAGTTTGACTGAAATCCATTTATAACAACTCTCCACTTTTGTCCATCCAGCAACTCTTCTTTCCAATTTGCTAATTTATCCTCCACACCTATAGAGATAATTTTTTTAAAAGCATTTTATATTTCTCCTTGTCAAAGGCTTTCTGAAAATCTAGATACACCAAATCTACATCCTTGCCCTCAACTATATAAGCAGTAACCTTTTCAAAGAATGTCAAAAGATTTTTAGGCAAGATTTTCCCTTAGTGAATCCATGTTGATTATCCAATAAAATTCTAAACTTTGTTAATTGACTTTGCAAAGCATCTTTCATCAGACTTTCCAAAACTTTTCCTACAACCGATATAAGACTAATAGGCCTATAATTACTGGGACAATTCTTATTACCTCTTTTGATAGGATGAGTGACATTAGTTAACTTCCAATCCTTTGGCATCTGCTCACTCTTCTAGGATGTATCAAAAACAAAATAGTAGAATTCATATGGTTCTTTTCCCATATATATGATACAAGAACTTTATATATATATATATATATATATATATATAATAAAATATCACAAAACATTATGTGGTATGTTAATATTGGTGTGTAGATTTTAAATGGAAAATTTGAGCACACTGTCCCCTAGAGGCATGAGCCCATTACAGTATCTCCTTGAACACAGCCCTACCAAGAGCTTGACAAGACAGAAAATTTAATAAAAGAGCAAACTTGGCCAAATTTCATTTATCAGAATAAAAT